ATAAAGAATCCCATAAAATCATTACTGCTAAGAGCAGGTGGAATGGATGGTTCAACTAAGCTATGGCTCTGGGTGAGTTTGGCAACTATTGAAAAGAAATCTAGGATTATTCTTATTCTCCTCTATTAATGAGGAGAAATATGCTGCTCTTGCTTTACAAAGGTTCTCTAGTACAGCAGTAAACTATTTTTTCAAACTAGGTAGGATTCCCGTTGGCCTGTGGAGCGATATTTTCTCTCCAGTTTCCTTGCATTGTGATTTAAATTGCACAGCTCTGCATTAAACCAAGGAACCAGGTTTCTATTTTTAATAGTTTTCATTTTCGAAGGAATTGCGTTGTCTAAGACAGTACACAGAGAACTAGCAACCCCCAACCTGTGAAGGGGAATAAAGTAAGTTTTTGCACTCTGCAGCACTGCTCAGTGACAGAGGAGAGCGAAAGTGAAGCAGATTCTTTAAAATTTATAACTGCACTATCTGATAATGATCTGCTAACATTGAACCTTCTTTTGGGGGAGGAGAACTCTGTTAAAGTAATCCTGAAGTTTAATAAAAAGTGGTCAGAGAGGACAGGGTTGTGAGGAAATACTGTTATTTCTCCACATTCTATGCTGTATGTCAGCACAAGATCCAAAGTATGAAGATGAGATTGTTTGGGACTATTCACATTTTGAACAAAGCCAATAGTGTCTAAGATAGCATTAAAGGCTGCTCTTAAGCTATCACCTGCGTACAGTTACCGAATCGCCTGGCTACTCAGGCACTTTTGGAGATATATATATATATAGAGATATATATAGATATATATATAGATATATATATAGAGATATATAGATTATTATTAATTTTTGTTTCCCTATTACTCTTTCAGAAGATGAGATAAAGGCAGAGGATGTCTTACATGCCTTGGAGGAATTAGGTGATGAAGAGTTTGACAAATTCAAATGGTACCTGCAGCAGCCTGAAAGTCTACCTGGAGTCCCACCAATTAAAAAGAGTCGCCTGGAAAGAGCAAAAAGCACCACTGTTGTAGAGTTGATGCAGCAAACCTACACACTTCAACGATGCCTGAAAGTTACCAAAGAAATTTTAAAAAAACTTCACAGGAATGACCTCGTGCAGCTGTTGCTTCAATATAGGAATTCAAAAAAACAGAAGTATCTAAAACACAATAGATGTAAGGATGATGAGGAAAGTAAAGAATGTGAAGATAATGAGGGAGAGTTGAGGAAGAAAGACAAAGTTCAGCGGACCATCAAGAAAATAAGAAGGAAAATTCAAGAAATCAAGGATTTGGTAAAGACTAGTAATGATGCTGCTAACAGAGAGAAAGCAGAGAGTACTCTAGTTTTCATGGCTCTGAGAGAATCTGCTGAGAGAGAGCTGAGGGAGCTTATAAAGAAGATCGAAGATAAGCAGAAAACCACTGAAAAGGAAGCTGAAGATTTCATTGCAGATTTAGAACAGGAAATCTCTGAGCTGATGAAAAGGAGTTCTGAACAAGATTTCCAGCAAAGCTCTTTGCTGAAAGCTGATCCACCCAAGAAGAAATGGGTTGAGGACAGAGTCTATCCACCTTCATATGAGGGAACAGTGGATAGAGCCGTGACTCAGCTAAAGGATACGCTGTGGGAGGAGATGAAGAAACAGTTGGAGCTAAAGAGGGTCCAGCAATATGCGGTAGATCTTACTCTGGATCCTGACACAGCTCACCCTAAATTAATCCTCTCTGATGATGGAAAACAGGTAAAACATGGAGATGTTTGGCAAGATCTTCCAGACAATAAAGAAAGATTTTCTGACTGTGTTGATGTTTTAGCATGCCAGAGTTTCTCATCAGGAAGCTTTTACTTTGAAGTCCAGGTTAAAGGAAAGACTGACTGGGATTTGGGAGTGGCCAAAGACTCCATCAACAGGAAGGGTTTCATTGACCTGAGTATTAAGAACGGTTTCTGGACTATTGTATTAAGAAATGGCAATCAGTACTTATCAGGTGATAATTCTTCAGATCATGTCTATCTCCCTACTGTACCAGAGAGGGTGGGGGTGTTTGTGGATTATGAGAAGGGTCTAGTTTCATTTTATGATGTAGATACTGCAGCTCTAATCTACTCATTTTCTAACTGCTGCTTCACAGAAAAACTCAAACCATACTTCAGTCCTTATCTTAATAAAGGAGGTACAAACTCTGCTCCTCTGATCATCTGTACGGTTAACCAGGCTCGATGTTGCTGTTATGAGGCTTCATAAAGAATTCATTTCTTGAAACAAAACTCTTAACTCAGTGACTCTTTATGTAAAGTCCTGTTGGTGGAAAGATGAAGGTGAAAACACGCTAAGCAGGAAGTCAATGGATCAGTTTACAGTTAAATTATTTGCTCAAGTTAATGATTATCTCTTTATTTACAATTTTTTTCCCACATGGCTAATTGATCTTTACTGAAATGTTTTCATAAGCAAATGTATCAAAAAATCCAGATGTAAATCAATTTCCTTGTTTCATGACTCATTCTTTTATCTTTGTTTGAGTAAAACTTTCTGGGCACAGTATCAGTGTGTCCAGTGTGTGGTTGAAAAAAAATGTGTCACCTATTTACATATACATATATATATATAT